CCCCCCCCCGCGCCCCCGGCCACCCCGGTTCTAGCTGCCTCATGGATAGAGGCATCTCTTGCGAAAGCAAGAAAGTTCAGCATCAATCAGTGAGTGGTTTTTCCAAACTCTGGGTAGTGAGTATCAAAATCAGTTTAGAGAATGGTGACCAATATTTTTTTTTAATTAAGGGATAGAATAAAATCAGAATACACTGCACATAGAAAGGATAGGTATTGTTTTATGAAACTTAGTTTTAATTTTATATATAAAATTAAATGGATATGTATATTAGGTAAAATTGCATGCTTATGTGTAACACAGATTGGGAGATAAAATGTAATTCTTACTGTGTCTTGGTGAAAAAAGTTTAAAAGCCACTAGCAGAGACTACAATGGTGCTTGAACTTTTGAATAAATCTTACCGCTGAACTTTAAGAATAATACAGTATGCCTTAAAATCATGATCCAGGATATGATTTGTAAACACAAATTCTAGAACAGTATATATAGTATGAGCCCAAAAGAACTTATAAGTATGTGACTATAAATAAATGTGCATTATTTTAAATTATATATTATAACTATAATCTATATCATAGGAGCATGGTCGTACAGGATATACTACATATTTTTTAAAGTGTTTCTTCTCCGATTAGGGGGGATTAGCAGAGAGTATCTTTTACAATTACTTAAAATTTTTGAAAAAGAAAATCCAAAGTGCCTATCACTTCTATAAGTTAGCACTTTCCCTCTCCTCCATCTCCAGACAGTAGGGGCATAAAAACTGAAAAAGAAGGGGTTCCCACCCACCCCCATGAGGAGGGCTCATTTTGGCCAAAATCATGAAGTAAACTGTAACAGCTGTGAGGGCAACGTAACGCCAGTATTTCCAGAACTTGAAACCAATCTCTTCCACAAGGAAATCTCCTTGGATAGCTTATAGGTTCAGCATTCCAGTGTCCTGGGAAACAGTTCCCCAAGGAAGCACCTGGCTCACCTAAGAGAAATCACCTGGCAAGCCCTTTCAGGGACATTTCCCACATGTGGGTTTGAAGAGCCAAGGTTTATTTCACAGAAACCCCTGCTTAATCCCATTAACGTGGCACTAACACCAAATTCACAGGGTCTTGAAACAAAAATGCTAAATACTTAAATAAAAGTCCCTGGGCTTCCCTGGTGGCACAGTGGTTAAGAATCCGCCTGCCAATGCAGGGGACACAGGTTCGAGCCCTTGTCCGGGAAGATCCCACATGCCACAGAGCAACTAAGCCCGTGCGCCACAACTACTGAGCCTGCACTCTACAGCCCGTGAGCCACAACTACTGAAGCCCATGTGCCTAGAGCCCATGCTCCGCAACAAGAGAAGCCACGGCAATGAGAAGCCCGCACACCGCAACGAGGAAGAGTAGCCCGCACTCGCTGGAACTAGAGAAAGCCCACGCACAGCAATGAAGACCCAACACAGCCAAAAATAAATTAGAAAAAAAAAATGTCCCACAGTCTTTGGGTTTTAAATGGAAGAAGCATATTGTGATTCTAAGTAAGCACAAAATACAGACGGTGAATGTGCCCCAAACACCTTTTAACATTGTTGCATACTCACCCACACCAGCCTCCCCATAGCCCAGGTGGGGTGGAATGATCACAGTCCGTTTCTCTCCAACGCACATCTCTCTGAGACCCATATCCATTCCCAACACGACTTGTCCAGATCCCAGAACAATATTATACGTTTTACCTAAGTTCCACCTAAAAATGAAACAGAAGAGTCTCCGGTTAGGCCATGAACCCACTGGTACTTAAGAGTGTCCTCCTGAGAAGAACATATCACTTCTGTGATCTTTCTGCCAAAGATACAGAACCCCTATGGAATCATAAGGAAACATTAGACAAGCCCACATTGAGGGACATTCTGCAAAACAACCAGCCCATAACCTTCAAAAGTGTCAAGGTGAAAATCAAAGGAAGACTAAGGGAGTTCGAGAGTTTGAGAGTTTTGGACATACTGGAATGGATCCTTTTGCTTTAAAAGACCTTATTGGAACATTTGGCAAAACTTAAGTGGGGTCTGAGGATGAAAAGTAATGTATCAACATTAACTTCCTGATTTTAATTGAATTATGTAGGAGAATGTCCACCGTTGTTGGAAATACACACTAAAGTTTTCAGAGGTGAAGAGACATCGTAGTGGCAACCTTCTCACCAATGGTTCGGCGTAGGGGGGAAGTTCTTTGTATTGGTCTTGCAATTTTTCTCTAAGTTTTAGTCAGTGTTGTAGCTAGTCAGAAATTTCCATGAGAATTTAAAAAATATGTAATGTAGTTAAGATCCTGGGATTTGGATTCAGCAAGACCTGAGTTTGAATCCTGGTCAAATTTAATTTGACCCTAGAAAATATAATCTCTCAGTTTTCCTCATCTATAAAATGGAGATAATAACAGCGATTGCACAGGTTTCAAATAGTAAGTAATATGCTTGGCACGGCAGAGAGCAAGCATGAAGAGCTCAATAAATGGATGGCCTTGAGAGTGTGAAGTGCTTGTGCCTGTAACAGCCTATGACTCCAGAAAAATAACTGGGAACTTGGGCCATGTTGTTAATTATCCTTGATGCCCAAGGTCCCAGGGGAATCTAAACAAATAAAAGTTGGCTCAATCACCTCATTCACTACTGAAAGTAAATCTATTTCCAAATTGATGGCATTCCTATCACATCCTAAAGGCAAACAGTGGGAATGTTCTTCAATGGCAAGGAAGAAAAGCCTCCTGGATATCTTGGCGCCCCCTTGATGTCCATCACCAAGTGGTGACAACAGGGAAGGGACTGCCCCTGGCCACCTCCCCTTCTCAGGCTTCCCAGCCTCCCCTGGCTGCAGGGCCGCAGCCTCCTTCCCTCCTCAAGCTGGTTCCCAGGGCCAGGCTGGTTCTCTGGAGCTAGCAAATTAAAACCACGTTTGCATTTGTCCTACCTGGGAGGAAGCAGAAACAAAGCCAATTCTGGCAAAGGATGCCTTGGCCCCAGGCCTGCGGGAGGGCAGGCAGGTTCTCTGTCCTGCCCCCCACACAATCCCTCCTTTGTCAGCAGCACAGAGGCGCCCTCACACTGCCTCTCTCCAGGGACCGTGGGGAACTTCCCGTGGGACTACTGGGTTTCAAAGTCTTACAGAATATTTGAGAACTCATTTAGTTATCAAATAACAAATGTTTACTCTTCTCTGAGGCCAGTTTCAACATACATTAAAAAAAAATGCTCCAAGGGCTTCCCTGGTGGCACAGTGGTTAAGAATCCGCCTGCCAATGCAAGGGACATGGGTTCGAGCCCTGGTCCAGGAAGATCCCGCATGCCGCAGAGCAACTAAGCCTGTGCGCCACAACTACTGAGCCCATGCGCTGCGAGCCCGTGCGTGCTCCACAAGAGAACCCCACAATGAGAAGCCCGTGCACCGCAGTGAAGAGTAGCCCCCATTCACCGCAACTAGAGGAAGCCCGCGCGCAGCAACGAAGACCCAACACAGCCAAAAATAAATAAATAAATTTTTAAAAAAATCCTCCAAGCAAGCAATTTGTTTTCATGTATCATCTCTGAAAACCCTGCTAATTCTTTTTCCTCAAGTCATTTTATTTTTATTTTGCAGTTTTTTTCTCAGACATTCTCCTCATTCCTTCTGTGCATTCCCGGCTTCCCATTCATTGCAAGCTTCCTGCTTCCTGCCTGCAGGCTGCCCCCTCTGGCTCTCCACCCACATTCCCCTCTAACCTCTCCATCATGGATTCTCCTAGCGCTGATGAACGAGCAACCACAGCAGCACCTGCCTCCTTGTTTACAGAGCCCATGTGGGCTTGGGGTGGGGCCAGATCCCCTCTTCCAGAAGGAGCTCCTCTCCCACACCCTGGTAAGCAGTCTCCTGCCACACTTCCCATTATCCCATTATTCTGAAGCTTCCACCCAGCGGAGACCAGCAGGGACGCCCAGACACTGCTCTTCCATGTCAATTTACACGTGACACAAATGACTCAAGTGGTTCAGAATGGAGTTTCTGAGAAGAGGAAGGAGCATCACGTGGCTCCCGGATGCTCTGTAACAATATTGTACATCCGCCAAAAACACATTAGAAGCAGGAAGACTGATTCTCCCACCCCACGTGAGAAGCGTATCCTGAACCCACCAGAGAAGAAATTCCTTTGTTCATTTCCCACCCCCACTTCCCTTTCCAAGGCCATAGGAGCACCAGACAAGAATATGAACGTTGGCCAGAGCAATGACAGCTAGCCATCGGCCTTAAAGACTGTTCTAACCTAGTTTTCCCATGCATAAGCTCACTTGATCCCAAAACAACTACAAGCCATCTTCTTCCTCACTGTCTAATCATCAGTGCAAAGAGGTTTGTTGTAAGCCAGGTCCCTGTAAATCTGGGCCCCAGAACCTAGAACATATTTCCTTGATTCTATAACGCATATTTTATTTTTTTTAATATCTCTTGATTTGGGATACATCTTACAATTGACGTCATCTCATTATTTTTTGGCAGTGTTCTTACTTTCTTGAGACACATAAAATGATACTTCTAACAACCAGCACATTTTAGATCTCATGAAATACGTTAACTGCCTGAGGATACCGGATCGCACAGCACCAGAGAGAATGCTCTGAGGAGTATGTCCCTCAGGCTCTCCACGCTGGCTCTCCCCAGCCACACTCTGTCACCTGAAGCTAGAAGGCAGAGGTACGCGTGAGAGGGAAAGAAGACCCTCCCCATCTAGAATAAATGCAGTAGCACACATTTATATGAAGCCCTTCTTTCTCCTCAAGACTAAACTTGGGAATCTAAGTCAGGCTCAATACAAAAATGGGTGTACTTATATGGAGACATAAAGAAAGACAGGGCTTCCCTGCATGGCACCATGGTTAAGAATCCACCTGCCAATGCCGGGGACACGGGTTCGAGCCCTGGTCAGGGGAGATCCCACATGCCGCAGAGCAACTAAGCTCATGCACCACAGCTACTGAGCCTGTGCTCTAGAGCCCACGAACCACAACTACTGAGCCCGTGTACCACAACTACTGAAGCCCACATGCCTAGAGCCTGTCCTCCACGACAAGAGAAGCCACCACAATGAGAAGCTCATGCACCGCAACAAAGATTAGCCCCTGCTTGCTGCAACTAGAGAAAACCCACACGCAGCAACGAAGATCCAATGTAGCCAAAAATAAACAAATAAAATAAACAGGGACTTCCCTGTTAGCACAGTGGTTAAGAATCTGCCTGCCAATGCAGGGGACACGTGTTTGAGCCCTGGTCCGGGAAGATCCCACATGCCACGGAGCAAATAAGCCCGTGCGCCACAACTACTGAAGCCCGTGTGCCACAACTGATGAGCCTGCACTCTAGAGCCCATAAGCCACAACTACTGAGCCCGTGTGCCACAACTACTGAAGCCCGCACACCTAGAGCCTGTGCTCTGCAACGAGAAGCCACCACAATAAGCCAGCACACCGCAACAAAGAGTAGCCCCCGCTCACCACAACTAGAGAAAGCCTGTGCACAGCAACGAAGACCCAATGCAGCCTAAAGTAAATAAAATTTTAAAAAAAGAAAGGCCAAAAATGTTTCTTTCCCAAAGAAGAGAATATTGTATTAACTTATAGATACCTCTGAAGATTCAGATACATAAGAAGGAAGGCTCCTTTTATCTGTATGATACTAGTATACACTGTTGATGGTGTAAGGAATAATATGAATAAACATGTTGGGTGTCTAAGGTTTTCAGACCAGCAAGAGTGATAGAAACAAAAATAACTAAAAGGCAGGTAATACATATAACATTATGAGACTATGCGACTACAGAAATGGGAGCAGTTGATTCTTCCTAGGAATTAAGCAAAGATTTTGAGAAAAGGGAATACATTTAAGCCAAGGCAGAAGCTGGCCAGAAGGAAGGGTGTAAGCAGTGCACATCCTGCACCACTGCACACGGCACCCCTGGGAGGCACAAGACGGGCCTCAACAGAAGATGCTGGCAAGGCAGAACAGAGCTGACAAGAGAGCCTGATGTGCCAGACTCTGGAGTTTAGATTTTATCTGTGGGTTAATTTTTAAAGACAGCAGGATAAGATGAGATCTGCTTTTCAGAAAGACAGTTTCACGGGTGCAGGATGAAACCATTCATAGGGAACTCTTGGAACAATGCACCGGAGTAGCGATGTACACTTGAGATACTCAGTGCAAAGGGCGTGAAGATAAAAGCTCTCAACCAGTATCTGTTGAAAAGAAAAGGAGGATTGTTGGAACACTGACTGTTATCTGCCAGGCTCACACCCCACCGATCCCTGGCAGCCCTTACGTGGAATCCAGCAGGGTCCCATCCAGAAGCGAGGCGTTGTAGTGATACTTGAGGTAATCCCCCTTCTTACTCAGCACTGAACAGTCGGGGGGCTTATAGTGGGAGGTGATGCTGATGGAGTCTGAAGGGTTGTGAAAGTCAATCACATGGATGTCAAACACCAGCACGGCCGAGCCGGGGATGTTCCCTAAAGGACAGACAAAGGCAATTAGAGGGAACCCTCCAAGCAGCAGCGCACGTGCCTCCCCAGTATCACCAGGTATTCCTCACAGACCTCCAGTGAGGAACACGGGGACCCAGCTGTGAAATCTTAGGCAATGCTGGAAGAGTGAAGCTGGAAGGGCCATTAGAAGTAGCCTAACCCAATTTATAGATGGGGAAACTGAGGCACAGATTTGTCCAGGGTCCACAGTCAGGAGCACACTTTGGACTAAAATTCAAGACACGGTACTACTGCCCCATGGAATGGTTCAACCTGAAAGATTTATGGCTAAGTTCATCACAGATGAGAAAACTAAAGCTCAACCAAATTAAGGCTTGCCCCGCTCCTGCTAGAAGAGGTGAGATGAGAAAATCAGCTGTAGAATGAAAATCACTTTAGTGCCCTACCACTGCCTAAGAGAAGCAAAACCAACAGAAACTTCACAGGGGAAATCACCTAGCCAAACTTGGCCCATATATGCCCCTTAAGATATACTACACGTAACAACTCACAAAGTGCTTTACAACACATCCTGTTTGTTCTACACAAAATTATTACTCTTTTCCATTTTTGAAAACATTATCTCACATCTGAATAATGTTTTACAGTTTACATTAAATCCCTGCAGGAACCCTCTCTCATTAAATCCCTGCAGGAACCCTGTTGGGTAAATATTACCATAAATGCAGGAGTAGCAGGTCATCCATTCATTTAATGACAGCTTCTCAAGAGGGTATCAGTTGTTAACCACACCCCCAGATCATTTCAGATAAGTTTACATGTAAAAAATTTGTAAACAGTGTTACTTAGAATCAAGGAGGTATAATATTTTCATTAGCATTTTACAGACAAGAAAACCAACTCAGATATAACTTGTTCAAGAAAACAACACAGCTATAGTCAGAATTCAGTAACCCAATGTGAACATCAACAGCCCCTCCCCAACCCCATCCTCCAGATCACACCACCCCCACCCCACCATGTGCTCATCTGTTTCCCGGCTGCTGTCTCTCTAACACACACTTAATGGGTAGGTGCTTGTTAGGTACCAGGCACTCTTCTAAGTGCTTTAGGTGTATTAGTTTATTTAATTCTCATTATAATCCTATATTCCCAACCTACAGATGAGGAAACTGAGGCACAGATTTTGATGGCTGCCCAAAGTTACCAAGGTAGTAATTAGAGAAGCTTGGGCTTTTACAGCAGCACACAGGTGCCTCATACTCACTAGTGATGGAGAGTTGCTGAAGTGAGTGGTTAACAGGGTCCAGGATCTTTCCCAGAGGAACCAGGTATTGCAAACTGCCATAGGAGGGTGGCTGGAACCAGGGCCAAGGGCAGCTCTTTGTGGGAAACAGCACACACTAATGGGGGGCAGTGGCTGTGGAGCCAGACAAGTGGTTTCTCAATCTTGGTTGCTCATTAAAACGAACTTGGAACGAACCTTGAAAACATTATGCTCAGTGAAAGAAACCAGACACAGAAAGACAAATATTGTATGCTTTCACTTATATGAGGCACCTGGAATAGGCAAATTCATAGAGACAGAAAGTAGAACGGTGGTTACCAAGGGCTGGAGGGGGAGAGGTTAATGGGGAGTTTGTGTTGGGGATGATGGAAAAGTTCTGGGTATAGACAGCGGTGATAGTTACACAACATTGTGAATATATTCAACGGCACTGAACTGTAAACTTAAAAAGTGTTAAAATGGTAAATATGTGCATTTTACCACAATAAAAAAATAATATAATTCACCACATTTACAGAATAAAAGAAAAAATCATGATCATCTGAAAAAAACATCACCTGGGCCCCACTCTGAGATTCAGATGTAGCTCGCCTATTGCAGTGATCTTGGCCTTGGGCGCCATCAGGATGTCCTGGAGAACTTGGTGAAAACGCAAAGGGCCAGGCCCTTTCCCATGCAGCACCTCTGTTTCTGTGATCTTTAAGCTCTCCAGGTGATTCTTGCCTGTGATATGCCACAACATTGCAGAACGGCTGGACTACAGTGGCACCAGGCATTGGTTTTCCAGGAGTTTCTAAGGGGCAGCCAAGGTTTAGGAGCGCTGTGCTAAATGGTCTGTAAGTGAGCAGCTGAGGATATTTAGGAACCCCACCTCTCATCTCCATGAGGAGGACCAAGGTGCAGGCCATGGTTGTGATGAAGGGGATTGGTGGAAAAGAAAGCTGCATCTTGAGCAGCTCCAATAACCTCTCTGAAAAAAACGTGTGGACGAAGCCCAGAAAGGGACAAGAAACTGATGGCCTTGGGCTCGTACAAACTTAACCTCCCCTTGCCAACTATATGGTTGGACCATTCAAGAGGGCTGTTTTCTTGCTCTCTGTACAGCCCCTGCTCAATCAGTCCCTGCTTCACTCACATGACTATCCAATTCTCTTAATCATAGCGCTTAATCAGTAACTGCCTACATGCTTGCCCCCTGCCCCAGGTGCTGGTTTCCCTGGTAACTGATGAGCCAAGCTGACATCAGTTCCCCCTTTAAATGGTGGCCCCTTCTCCCCCGCAAGTAGCGAAGATTCCTGCCATGTTCTGCCTGCCCTCTGCCGTTCACGATGGGGTGTTACTCCAGGATCTTTTGCTGCAGACTTGTAAGATCCCTTATCCAATAACTGGTTGATGTCTCTGTTGCTGTCTCTGGGCTCTTTCTTCAGCTTCGAGGCTGGGCAACTACAAGGCTTGCAGCCCAGCACCAACTAAGTGAATGTTGCTTGCCACCTGGATCTACAAGAATTCAGTCATTAGCCACTGCAGTCACTGACCTACAGCACACCTTGGAAAACATTCAGGGGGTAGATCAGGGATAAAGTACCTGTGCTCTGGGAAAACTGGCAGAACAGGCCTCCAGGTAGTTAGAGGTTTTCAGGAGAAAACTTTATGAACCCAGACTCTTGCATCTTCCTACACTTAGAAAAGCACTAAAGTCAGTAACTAAGATACCTATTCCCCGTGACTAGCAGTTACCTTCTACCAAGATGTGTGCTTTAGGGCTTCCCTGGTGGCACAGTGGTTAAGAATCTGCCTGCCAATACAGGCAACACGGGTTCGAGCCCTGGCCCTGGAAGATCCCACATGCCGTGGAGCAGCTAAGCCCATGCAACACAACTACTGAGCCTGTGCTCCAGAGCCCGCAAGCCACAACTACTGAGCCTATGTGCCGCAACTACTGAAGCCTGTGTGCCTAGAGCCTGTGCTCCACAACAAGAGAAGCCACCACAATGAGAAGCCTACACACTGCAAGGAAGAGTAGTCCCCACTCACCACAACTAGAGAAAGCCCACGCACAGCAACGAAGCCCAACACAGCCAAAAATAATAACAAATAAATTAATTAATTTAAAAAAAAGATGTGTGCTTTATTGCACATATCCTTCCTCCAAATTCACATATATACTAGCCATCCCCCTTACCTCTTTGGAGCAGTTCCTCAGAGCAATCTGAGAGGCTATCTCCCAGGCTACAGTCCTCAGTAACCCCAAATAAAACTATAAAACTGAACTCACAGCTCTTACATTGTTGTTGTTTTTAATTGACACCCTCAAAGGTACATTCATGTGCAGGACTATCTTAGGGCACCAGGACTACCCACACCCCTGTGCTCTGATATCAGTTTGCCCAGCACTTTCCTGATAAGTAACCCAGCTTCTCAGGCCCCCAGGATCCCAGGTCCAAGTATTCTGATCAGTGGAGAGGTCAATCACACCCTGTCAAGTAAGTATTCAATGTCCGGTTCTATGTCAGCTCCTAGGAAGTTAGCATGAGTCAGTCTACCAGGTGTCTGATTAAGGCACAAACGCACATCTACTGAGGCATCAATAAGAACGTAAGCTCTATGTGGGCTGGGAGTTTGTCTTTTTCTCTGCTGAATCCCCAACACCTTAGGGCAGTGCCTGGTCATGAAGGCACTCAATAAAAAAAATTTTTTAATAAATTTTATTTTTATTTATTTATTATTTTTGGCTGTGTTGGGTCTTCATTGCTGTGCGTGGGCTTTCTCTAGTTGCAGAGAGCGGGGGCTACTCTTCGTTGCAGTGTGCGGGCTTCTCATTGCGGTGGCTTCTCTTGTTGCAGAGCACGGGCTCTAGGCGCACGGGCTTCAGTAGTTGTGGCTCACGGGCTCTAGAGCACAGGCTCAGTAGTTGTGGCTCACGGGCTTAGTTGCTCCGCAGCATGCGGGACCTTCCCGAACCAGGGCTCGAACCCGTGTCCCCTGCATCGGCAGGCGGATTCTTAACCACTGCGCCACCAGGGAAGCCTGGCACTCACTAAATCTTTGATGGACAGATAGATGGGGTTGCTGGGCCTACAAAAAAACCCAGACTAGACCTCGAGCCATAAGATCTCACCTGCTCCAGGCAGCCAGCACCCCTTCCACCCTCATTCCCTCTATCTGGCTCTGCCTTCTCCAAAGAATATACAGTGTAAAAATAACTGCTGACCAGTGTAGGGGAGTAAAATTGCCACCCCAAAAATGTCTCTTCGACATGTGGATTATTTCAAGTTGAAAATCAACAAGACGCAAAAGACTCAAAAAAAAAAGAAAAAAAGAAAACCTTTCTTTTTACCTCCTTAACTGCCTAAAGAATGTAGATAGAAGACCTGTTGGGGAATGGGGGGAGCTATCACCATACATAACTACTGTATGAACTAGGAAGGAACCTAGCAAAATCTGTTAGTTAAAATTTCTCTTGGTGTCCCAATGTCTGTGTGGCCCAGTAAACATTTGCTTTTCCATCTCCAGGTCCGAAACCAGTACCCCCAACATCCTCTTCTGTCTTTAGCTAATGGTGGTGTTTAAGGTGAGGGCTTCAGACATTCTGGTGAGTTAGTCAGTTTCCCTAGGTCTCTCCCATATATACATGTCATTAAACTTTGTTTGATTTTTCTCCTGTTAATCTGTCTCATATCAATTTATTTCTTAGACCAGCCAGAAGAACTTAGAAGGGTAGAGGAAACTACCTCCTCCCCAACACCAGCAAACAGGTGAAAATAATCCAACATTTCATTAGGCCCCCAACACCAGCCTCCTCTCTGAATAAACCCTTAACCAATGCAGAAAAGTATTCATCAATTTTTCCCACTAGATAAGCTGCCTCAAAAAGAGACACAGGGCTTCCCTGGTGGCGCAGTGGTTGAGAGTCCACCTGCCGATGCAGGGGACACGGGTTCGTGCCCCGGCCTGGGAAGATCCCACATGCCGCGGAGCGGCTGGGCCCGTGAGCCATGGCTGCTGAGCCTACGCGTCCGGAGCCTGTGCTCCGCAACGGGAGAGGCCGCAACAGTGAGAGGCCCGCGTACTGCAAAAAAAAAAAAAAAAAAAAAAAAAAGAAGAGACACAGATGACAAAAAATAAAGCAGCCGGCCAACTGGGCCAGAAGGAAACACGGCGGCTCTTGGCAGTGTGGGTTTCCTCTGAGAGCTCTGGGATTCTCGTTGGAGTTCTGAGTTCTTCATATATGGGTATCAACAAGTCACAGCATAATGGAAACTCATTCTTCCCCTCTGCCTATGACACAGGCAGCAAGAACCCTGGGTGTAATTCAACTCCATCACTGATTAGCTATTGTGGCCTCTAGCAAATGACTCAACCTCTCTGGGCCTCCTTATCTTAACAGAGAACTGTTTTGAGGTTTGAATGAGCTCGTACATGAGAAGTCCTTCACAGTGTGGGTAAAAGATTAGCTTTCTTCACTTTCGAAAAAGAGTGCTTAGAAGGTCATGTGGAAGTTGGGGAACAGAAAACTGAGGAAGTGATGCTGCCACAACCCTGCAGCAGAATCCATTCTCCACTTCAGGGCTGCAAACATCCAAACGCTCTAAATTCAGGGCTGTCCCTGTGGAACAAAGCAGACAGCAGAAAGGGCCAGAGCCTTTACAGAAGGCCTACCCCCTCCCCTCCACCAACCCTGCAAGAGAAAATGGCTGCAACAAAATGAAATGCTGATGAGTCGGAAAGTCCAGCATTTCTTCCTTCCACAAATATTTACTGAAGGCTTACCATGTGCCTGGCCCTGTGGTATGTGGTGAGAAAGCCACAGGCTTCCTCTGTGTCCTGACACCCTTCTAAGGTCAGTCCCTCAGTGATTAGCATTAGGTCCTGGGCAAACCCCACAAGGAGGCCAAGGGCACTCGCTAATCAATAGGACAGAAACAGACCCTGTGCAAGAGCAGCTGGGCGTTACTTGCCAGGGTGCCCCTCCCCCCACCATGGGAACAAATGATTCAGGATGAAGTGGCCTCATCCCCAGAAAATTTATGAGACTTCAAATGTTTCCCAGAGCCTTACATAATTCTTTGCAAAACTGTCTCATACTTGTGAGAAAGCCAAAAGGAGAAATAATTGAAGCAAATGTTTTCCATCAGTATATTCTTTTCAGGGAAAGGAAGAATTAGTCCTGAGGGCAAAATGAAACATGAATCCGCGGAAAGTATTTGTCTATTCCTGCATGTATTTGGCTAGAAGTAGAAATTTACATAATACAAAACAACAGAGCATCAAGACACCAGACAAACAGAACATGAAGCAAGGTTTGTTGAAGGATCTTAAGACCTTAAGCTGTGATTTGTTGTGGCTTTATAAATCAGAAATTTAAGTCAGGAAAAAATAATGTTTCTCCATGGTACAGCCTAGTTCCAACCAACCTGATGATTCTTAGATCCTCCAAACAAATCCTACTGGGAAAATTCTGAAATCCACTGTAGCAGTAGAAGTCAGAAGCAGGTTAACGAAATGAATGTGTACAGCCAGCCAGGCCAGCCAGAATCTCATCAGCAAAAAGAACACAAAAGCAAAATAAATACTGTATCAACTCTTCCAAAGTAAGCTAGCAAAAAATGGTATCTGAGAAAAATAAATAAATAAAGGAAATATGGTTTGGAATACTATGCAACCATTAAAATTCTATGCAACCTGTTGGCATAAAACATTGTTCACAACAAATTACGTAAAGAGAAAAATTACAAACTAATATATATAGATGATCCCACTTTTGTCAGTATTTATTGACAAAAAAATACTGTAGTACTTTTTGTCAATAGTGTAGATGGATATGTGTTTATTTCCTTTTATCTACATAGATTCACATATACTCAAAAGTATAGAAAGATAGTCACTTCACGGTTATATGAGTTTCCTATTACTGCTGTAACAAATTACCGCAAGCTTGGTGGCTTAAAACAACATAAATTTATTCTCATAACTCTGGACTCAAAGTCTAAATTCAAGGTATTGGCAGGGATGTGTTCCTTTTAGAGGTTTCAGGAGAATCTGTTTCCTTGCTTTTTCCAGCTTCTCAAGGCCACCCTCCTTCCTTGACTTGTGGCCCTTTCCTCCATCCTCTAAGTCAGCAGTGTAGCATTTTCTCCTCTCTCTTGTCTCCTGCTTCCCTCTTGCAAAGATCCTTGTAAGTACATCAAGGCCACCTGGATAATCCAGGATAATCTCCTCATCTCAAGACCATTACCTTAATCACATCTGCAAAGTCTCTGGGGATTAGGACATGGACATCTTTTGGGGCCGATATTCCACCTACCAGATTAACAATGGTTATTCCTGGGTGGTGAGATTATGGGAGATTTTTGTTGTTGTTGATCTCTATTTTCTTTTTCTAAAGTCAACATATATTATTTGTGTAACTTTTAAAAAGAAGTTTGCTGTTTGGGTGGCAAATATTCTAAAACTGGATTAAGGTGATAGTTGCACAACTCACAACATTTATTAAAAGTCATTGAATTGGGGCTTCCCTGGTGGCGCAGTGGTTGAGAGTCCGCCTGCCGATGCAGGGGACACGGGTTCGTGCCCCGGTCTGGGAAGATCCCACATGCCGCGGAGCGGCTGGGCCCGTGAGCCATGGCTGCTGAGCCTGCGCGTCCGGAGCCTGTGCTCCGCAACGGGAGAGGCCACAGCAGTGAGAGGCCCGTGTACCGCAAAAAAAAAAAAAAAAAAAAAAAGTCATTGAATTGTACACTTAAATTGGGTGAATTTTATGGTACGTAAATAATACCTCAATAAAGTTGTTAAAAACAAAAACCAAAATCTAATGCACAGTATAGTGAATATAGACAACAATATTGTCTTATAATCATCAAACTTGCTAATTATCAATTATTCCAACCATCAAAAAGAAATGATAATTATGCACCATGATAGAGGTGCTAATTATCACCACAATGGCAATCACATTACAATATATAAATGTATCAAAATAACATGTACACCTTAAATGTACACAGTGTTACATGTCAAATATATTTCAATAAAAACGAAAAACAAAAAAAGGGGGGTTGCAATTTACTTTCAAATGGCTCAACAAAGAAAAAAGGTACTGTAGTTATATATATAAAGCAAATATAGCAAGGTGTTGACGATTGGTGAATCTAAGTGGAGTTCACTGTACAGTTCTTTCAACTTTGGTGTAGGTTTTAAATTTTCCAAAAGAAAAAGGAAAACGGGCAGGGGGAACAAGGAGTCATGACAGAGCATCTCTAGAAACTAGAGTTATTTGAGTATTCAAGTCTGAAGCTAGACTTTAGCTTCTATGCTTTGCCAGAGGCCCTGGTTCCAAGCAGCGTGGAAGCATCAGTTAGTGCCTCTCAGTTTAACCTTAGAAGGCAGCCAGCGCTCACCTCTTCCTTCCTCACCATACCCCAGGTGAGGGGGGACCACGATCCTCCGCTTCTCTCCAATGCAAACGCCGAGTAAACCTTCATCCATCCCAGCAATCACGTAGCCCTGCCCAATGTACGTGTCAAAGGTGCGGTTCCGCGAGTAGCTGGGAAAGAGGAAAAGAGCTTGGTCACGAGGGATATCGCAGCAGCAGTGTAGTTGGTACCATGAGGCAACAGAGCGCAGGGGCCCCCAGACCCTGGAATAGGGTGAACCCTAGAATCTGAGTACAAGCCAGGAAACACGCTCCCCTGAAATGATGAACAAGGATCCACACACTGCGTGGGAGCTGCCGCCTGCACAAACGCTCCCAGAAACGAGCCCTCTAGCCCTCTGGTTTGGTCAGGTTATGCATGGGATGGAGGTTACAAGAAGCAATCATGCAGAAATGTAGCTATAATGTAAATCGGACTGTACGCTTGTTGACCATGTCAGGTTAATGAAAAAAGCATCAAAGGGGCCCTTGTCAGAAACTAAGAATTTCTCTGTTATCTCTTTCCTTCCTTCTTTCTGCTTCATCTCCCTCTTCAGCCTGTCTTCTTTCCCTCTTGAATATTCCCCATAACCACAGTATGAATCATATTATATTTTACATTATTGTTGTATTTATTAAATTTTTCTTGCTCCCATTTTTTTTTTGGCGGTACGCGGGCGTCTCACTGTTGTGGCCTCTCCCATTGCGGAGCACAGGCTCCGGACGCGCAGGCTCAGCGGCCATGGCTCACGGGCCCAGCCTCTCCGCGGCATGTGGGATCTTCCCGGACCGGGGCACAAACCCGTGTCCCCTGCATCGGCAGGCGGACTCTCAACCACTGCGCCACCAGGGAAGCCCTCTCTGTTATCTCTTGTAAAGAAACAACTTAGAAGTTCTAGAGTCTTCTCTTACTCTAACATAAAGTTTCAAATGAAAGCCCAAAAAGGAAAAAGAAAAGAAAGAAAGAAACTAAGAATTTCTCTAAAGAGGAGAGTATCTGTATATGTGGGACATGAATATTCAGATTGCCAGAAAAGTAGCATATATACTGAGAGCAATTTAACTCTACAGTGAACTCGCCCTACTGCAATCCATGCTCACCAAGCTACCTCCCGGTAAGTACCTGAATTTCCCAAGTGCCTCTGGTAGGAGCCCCAAGCATTCCACTCAGTGGAGAGATCCAGCCTCTGTATTAATTGCCAATTGAGTCTGATTACTATGAGTTTGGAGAAAACAAAGCCTGATGATTCCAGAATAAAATAATAAAACTTCATTTGCCACTTCAGGTACTGAACTCTGAACCACAGTGATCTGTACCCATTACCCACTCCCAGCTGGAGCAGATATGGCAAAAAGCTTGTCCTGAAAGAGCCAGTCAGTTCCACTGTCACCTCATCACACAGCCCAAGGATGACTGTGTCAGAGAAGATGGTCAGCAGTGGAACCAGGGAGGTAAAAAGGCAGAGTTTTGAGAGGCTCTTCCTCCTCAACACCCCTCAGGGACCACAAAGCCAAGGGGCGCGAAGAAATGATAGTAACAAATGATTCTCCTCACCCAGGAAGCAGATTTTCTACATAATTATCTGTATTTCATTGTATATGTATGGAAGACCTATGAAGTGCATAACTCTGGTTCCCTGTGAAGAGGGGAACTGGGTGATTGAGGGACAAGGATAGGGGAAAAATTCTTCATTGTATATTCTTTTATACTTTGAGGATTTTGAACCATATCAATGTATCACAGTAGGAAAAAATGATGTTGAAAAAGAAAAAGAATATTCTGTATCATACAAATTAAAAAGTTACAATAGCTAAAGGTATGATTGTGGCCCAGAAATAGCTAGATCATTGGAAAAGGATAAAAATTCTAGACCAAGACCCAAAAGTGTATACAAGAATTTGGTATATGATCAATGTCAGATTTTAAATGAGTGAGGAAAATACAGTTATTCAATAAAGGGTGTTGGAAAAACTGGCTAACCATCTGGAAAAAAAATTTAGATCCTTACTGTCATACTGAACACCACAATAAATTCCAGATGGACTTAAGATTGAAACATGAAAGCATTTATAAACCTGGAGACAGCCTGCAGAAGCTTTTTAATATTTACTTCGAGTGGTGAAAATGGAAGGGGTTGATGTGAAATTATTACATTTTATTCAATATCTTTGCATTGTTTCACTTATACACCAAGCACATAATACTCTTTAAAATAAAAATTCTAATAGAGAATACTTTAAAGGATAAAAAAATAAAGCCATTAGAAGAGCAGGAGGAAAATACAGGTGAATATTTATATACTCTAGGGGAAAAAAAACAAGTCCAGGGGTGGGGAGAGACTTTTTAGCAAGTTACTCAAGACAGAATATATAAGAATTTACGTAAGAATAAAGAAAGCCGTAAAGGAGAAATGGAATGTATTTAACAACATAAAAGGTTTATATTTAAACAGATCAAAAATCACAACAACTGAAATTAAAATGCAAATAAACAGGCAATATGATTTCAACAATATGCAACCATAAAAGTGTTAATATCTTTAATGTACAGAGATTTTAAATTAATAAGAAAAGGACAAATACCAATATCCTCAATATAAAAACAGGCAATGGGGCTTCCCTGGTGGCGCAGTGCTTGAGGGTCCGCCTGCCGATGCAGGAGACGCGGGTTCGTGCCCCGTTTCGGGAGGATCCCACATGCCGCGGAGCGGCTGGGCCCGTGAGCCATGGCCGCTGAGCCTGCGCGTCCGGAGCCTGTGCTCCGCAAATGGGAGAGGCCACAACAGTGAGAGGCCCGCATAACGCAAGGAAAAAAAAAAAAAAAAAAAACAGGCAAATACACAAACAGGTAAATCACAAAAGAAAATATCCAAATAGTCAATAAACATTTGAAAGAATTTCAACCTTAATAGCAATCAAAGAAATTGACATTACAATTATAAAGTTCTATTTTTCTCCTATAAATTGGCAAAGATTATTTTTAAATAATACCCAATGTTGCTGATTTGCAGGAAATGGGGTACTCTTAGTGATGTAAAATCTTCCTTGAGGACAACTTGGTACTTATATCAAAAGCTGTAAAAATACACATAACCTTAGACCTAGAGATTCTTCTAGAAATTCATCCTAAGAAAACAATCATATTATTTAAGATTTAGCTACAAAAATAATTATTGCAGTCCCATTTAGAACATCAAAAGACAGAAAATAATAGGGATTGATTACTAAATTAAGGCAAATCTATATAATGGAATATTACTTAGCTCTTAGGATGGATTAGACCCCAGTGTACTAAAATGGAAATCTGTTTGAAACCTAAGAAAACTGTGGTTCCATTAATATGGAAAGAAATCTGGTATCCACTAGAAAAATGGCTTTTCAACTAAAAATACAATTCCAGGGAATAAAAGACAGAGCCAAGCTCATACGTGACAAGTAATCACACGCATACACTCTCTCAATTTTTTTTAATAGAAAAAATAAAAACAACTCAAATGTCATCAGTGGGGAATGGCTAGATAAATATGGTATATTCACTCAATGACACACTACACAGACATAAAAAATGATTTCTCTCTACGCATTAATATGAAAAAATTCCAAGGTGAAAAAAAGCAAGGAGCAGGGGCTTCACTGGTGGTGCAATGGTTAAGAATCCGCCTGCCAACGCAGGGGACACGGGTTCGAGCCCTGGTCCGGGAGGATCCCACATGCTGCAGAGCAACTAAGCCCATGCACCACAACTACTGAGCCTGCACTCTAGAGCCCGCGAGCCACACTACTGAACCCGCATGCCACATCTACTGAAGCCCACGCACCTAGAGCCTGTGCTCCACAACAAGAGAAGCCACCGCAATGAGAAGCCTGCGTGCCGCAACGAAGAGTAGCCCCTGCTCGCCGCAACTAGAGAAAAGCCCGTGCGCAGCAACGAAGACCCAAGGCAGCCAAAAATAAATTAATTAATTAAAAAAAAAAGCAAGGAGCAGAATACTGTATATAGTACATAGCATTATGTCATCTGTATATGTATATAATAATGTTCTATATATATGTATATAGTATTCTATATGCTATATACTATAAAGCGGAGAAAATAATATAACAATTGTATTTGCTTATATCTGCTTTAGGAAAAAAATCCACACATTTGAAGAATAAAAAAAGAAACTTATTAATAACAGTGGTTAACTCTAAGTGGCTTGGGGGGAGGGGGATGTGAGGTTGGCAGGGATGGTTGGTACAACATAACTTAACACATATTTTGTTTTAATTTTGAACCATGAGACTGTTGCCTTTTTCCAAAAACTTAAATGAAAAATTTAAAAGAAGGGATCCGCGGAGTAGTAAGAATGAATTATGCAAATAAAACTATACCATATAAAAATTCTGTAATGTTTCTGGGTGACTAATTAAACGAGAAGTCTCTTACCTCAGAGAAACAGGTAGATTGCTGTCACTACTTGCTTGCTCTATAGGAAGCTAAAGGAATCCAAACAACACATGCCACCTGAATGAGCAACACATACCAAACACCTGTTGCCTGCTCACAACTGTAGGCTAAGCCTGATAAACAAAACAAAGCTTTGAATAACAACAGGCTCGGTAATCGGCCTCTGCCCAGCATCCAAACAGTCCCTGCAGCAGATAAGCCATTAAAGTGCTTCTGCCTACCTTCTCTCTTTAATCCAACCATCTCTTTGAGAAAGGTGCTAACAACAGCGAAAAAACTGAAGCTCAGGGAGGTCAAATGCTATCCAAAGTCACACACCTAGGGCACCACACACAGGGACTGGAATCCAGGTCTCCCAGCACCAAGTCTGTTCTCTTCACATCCTACCGCCTGGACCTGTCTTCTGCTCACTTCTCACCTTGTACCCCAGAGTTGGGTTTATACTTGGGTAGCCGAGCACAGTCTAGACGGATTGTGGGAGTCCAGGGTGAGCCTCTCCTGCTTTCCTGCAGACCCATCTCCCACAGGCCCCAAGGAGACTATTCTAACAACCTCTGAAGGAATTCAGTATCAGAAAATAGAAACCTATACTGGAGATGAAAATACTAACTCAAAATCACACTGACAAG